GGCCTTGTGCTGTGATTTCTTGGTTCATTTGCTGTGTTGCAACTTCTTGAGTTCTTGTAGTGTAATTTCCTGAGTTTTCTGATGTGATATCCTGAGCGGGTGGCTGTGTAGCATTCTGGGTTTTGGTCTGGCTTCAAGTTTGGGGTCTGGGTCTGTGTTCTTGTTTGGTTTTGGGGTCAGGGGGGTAGGACAGCTGGCGAAGCAGCTGTGGTCTGGTTTCTGGACAGTGGTTGTCCATTGTTTATAGGATGGGTTTGGGCCTGGGTCTGATGAGAGGGATTGGTGGTGGTGTCCCGTGTTGTTTTGGGTCTGGTGTTGGTTTTTGTGGCTGGGACTCATTTGTTGGTGAGGGCTAGTTTCCAGATGTCTGGTAGGCAGGAGGTATCATCCCGTTTATTCATGTTATGTGGGTATTTCTCTATTTCGATGGCTTCCCTGATTATTCTCTTTCTGGAGTGTTCAGTGTTGGATATTAATTTGGTTCCTTTAAAGTTAATTTCATGTCCTGTGGCTTTAAGGTGCTGGAAGAGGGATGAAGTATTTTCTTCTTTTCTGACTGTGCTTTTGTGTTCTGCAATGCGTGCATTTATTCTCCTGTTGGTTTCTCCAATGTATGTGGCTGGGCAATTGTTGTATGGTATTTCATAAACTCCTTGGTTTTCTAGCTGGATCTTGTCTTTGGGGTTTCTTAGGATGTTGGCTATTTTCGGCACTGACCAAAAAATAGCCATGCTTTGCTCATACAAGCACAAAGCCGAAAGCACCAGCCTGAAGATGACGAGTGGGACCTCATTGAAATGTTGCCAAGATACTCTCAATCTTACACAGGAAAAGACCCGAACACACCAAAACCTGCATAATTTATTTATTTGTTTTGTCAAAAGCTTACAGTACAATAGAAATAAAAATAAACATAATTTAAATGTAAGAAATAGGAACTAATCTTTGGGGACAATAGGACAGGGATGGTAGGCACAATTGTGCGCTTATGCATGCCCCTTACAGACCTCTTAGGAATGGGGTGAGGTCAATAGAGGTTAGTTTGAGGGTAAAGGAGTGGGGGTTTGAGCAGGTGACAACAGAATCAGGTAGTGAGTTCCAGACATTGACCACTCTGTTGCTGAAATCGTATTTCCTGCAATCAAGTTTGGAGTGGTTTACATTAAGTTTATATTTGTTGTGTGCTCTTGTGTTGTTGTGGTTAAAACTGAAATATTCATTAATTGGTAAGACGTTGTAACATATGATTTTATGTACTATGCTTAAGTCCAATCTTAGCCGGCGTAGTTCTAGGTTGTCTAAGCCTATAATCTCAAATCTGGTGGTGTAGGGTATTCTGTTGTGAACAGAGGAATGTAGTACTCTTCTAGTAAAATACTTCTGAACTCGCTCAATTGTATTTATGCCTGATATACAGTGCGGATTCCAGATAGCAGCTGAATTCAAGTATTGGTCTAGCAAAGGTTTTGAATGCCCTAGTTTGCAAATCAGTATTCCCAGAAGACAAGTTTCGTAAAATTAAATTTACAATTCTTAAAGCCTTTTTGGCAATACTGTTGCAGTGAGCTTTGGTGCTTAGGTCATTTGATATGAGAACTCCAGGGTCCTTGATAAAGTGAGGGTCATCAACAAGGTCATATACATCTAGTTTGTATTTGGTATATAGATTTTTTTTTTTACCAATGTGTAGGACAGAGCATTTGTTGGTCGAGATTTGGAGTTGCCAACCGTTAGATCTTTCAGGTAAATAATCAAGGTCTTTTTGAAGGACGGTAGCATTGATGGTGGTGTTGAATAGTTTTACATCATCAGAGAAGAGGACACAGTTGCTAATAAGGTGATCACAAGGCAGCTACTGCCTGGTCCAAAACACAGCAATATGAGCAGTAACAAGGCCTTCTTATTATGCCCATCTGTCATCACTGCTGTTCAAGCTATCAATTAGGTACAACTGAAGGTGATGGTCCTCATACATCAAGCCCTTCAATGAGACTGATCGTTTGCATGACTGTCGGTCTCCAATAATTTCTGCATTCTCTGTACATTCAGATAGAGTGAGTGTCTTTCAGGTCTACTCAATTAAATGTCATCTTGTGGGATGGAAAAAGCATTCCTTCTCTTTCATGTCCCCTGTCCACTGGAATATCTCCCCAGTCACACATGTAGTGCCAGAAGAGAAGGGGAGGAAAGATACTTTCCAGCCTCTTGCAGGAATGAGGTGGGAGAATCGGGACTTATAAACAAGGGCGAACCTGAAGGAAGAGATATTGTGAGAGCAGATTCTCATAATAGCTAACAGAGACTAGTAGCCAATGTATGAACAGTACTGAGGGATAGAGTGGCTTGTCTTGTCAGAAGAAAAAGACTTTGAATAGGATCTGTTCTCCATGAAAAAAAAACCCACAAAATATCAGAATTAGATAAAATATTAAATTTGGCTGGTAAACATAATTCCATTTTTTGTTTATAAATGGTACAATATTATTTTCTCATGAGAAAGACTCATACATTTTCATTTTATATTATGAATTAATGCCCACACCTTAAAAATACATTTGCATTCAAAGGATTAGGTGTGCAACATGCATATAATAAAGTATCAGATGACAATGATACCAAGTATTGAGTACAGGAACATGTCTGAAACCATACATTTCAAACTTTATTCTATTGTGGCTCCATAAAATTATTTAAAAAAAGTTAGTCCCACATCCCCAATAAATAAAAATAATGGTTTCATTGGATTTAAGGAATAATAAATTCAACAAATAAATATGCCACTTGTTTTAAATATTTACATTTAATCTACCTATCAAATAAAATAATGATAATACTTTACAGCTTTATAATATCAAACCATTAACCTGAATATCATCACCCACCCAATAACATTTAAAGCCATATTGAAGTTATATTGTGGCAATGTTTTGCAGAAATCTTGTGTGTTGTTTTCTAATACCATATTATTAAGTTTTCAGAACTGGCTTACGTAATAGCAATGGGAAAATTTCCAGAGCTGTGATATCAGACTCTAAAAATGGAAGATTTAATACATGCTTGATTTATTTTGCCAATAATTTCATCAACCAAAAAATGGAATGGGTAATTATCCTAGATCTAATTCTCACCAAGAGCTGGTGTTTGTGATAAAATGCACACAATATCTTCTTTGAATTCATGATATTGGTGGAACAGAAACTCAGCATGTCAGATATTTGTCACGAACCAAAGTTAATTTCAGCAAATATAAAGAGATGATGGGCACTTTCCCACAACACTGTAATCAGATAAAAGTTTGAGATATGAAGGCCAAATCAGTTTATATTCAGCCCGTATCAGTTTCGCATATATACAATTCTCTCTATAACTTCATAAACCTGTGGATACTTTAATGCATAATATCTGCATTTAATGACTCTTTTTCTGTTGTAGGCCCTTTGTACATTTTATCCCTAATAAGTACATTTTTTTTGCAACATTCTCTAAGGCCCAGATTTTAATATGTCATTTCAACATTAAGAATTAAGATACAATATCACAGATACCTTCAGTGGTATTCAATATCTGAAAAACAAATAGCCAATTTTTGTGACAGTAACTTGAAAAGGATGGTGAAATTCTGGGATTTAAATAGGCTTGAGCACAATACCGTAGAATATGGGAGTGTGTTACATTTGGGCTGCTGTGTACTTTTGTTTTGGCAACCTAGGTCATGGTAAATGTATGTACATGATGTTGTTATGCTGTTATTAAAAATGTAATTTTAAAGTACAATCAAAGTGTAGTATTTATTATGTAGCTGCTGATTTTGGTTTTTGCTTAATTTAATTCAAAATCCATACATGCCAAATGTTTATGTTCAGAATCTTCTTGCTGCACCATTTGCAGATTGGATTGGGTTGGTTTTCTTCTGGCCTACAAACAATATAGTAGATATTACACTTGGAATTCAAATATACCAAGTGAATGAGTTTTGATACAGTATACCACACGGTATTTACGGTAGAGTTGTACAAATACTTTTGATTTATTTCCCTAAGATGCTTTAGAGTATGTTGGAGCATGAATTTGCCCAAAACTTTTAAAAGCAGCTTCATCTTTTATCAGGATCCTTCAGCTGGCCTTTATAAATTCACATATTCTACATATTGATCCTCTTTTCTTGTCCTTATCCTCCTCTTCCTCCTCTTCTTCCTCCTCCCCCCTCCTCCTTTCCTTCTCTTTCTCCTTCTCCTTCTCCTTCCCCTTCTCCTTCCTCATTTCCTTTCCTTTCCTCCCCCCTTTTTTGTATTGTGATGTTTTACTTATTCACTAGGCTTTCAATAGAGAATAATGTTAATCCTTTTAAGCTCCTTATTCTAATGATTTATTTTGTTGGAAACCGTTGTGATCCTTCTTTGAATTTTAATGATTGCTGGCTATTCAAGGATTCATTGTTCTGACTTCCTGTCCTTACCTTTGTTTCTAACATGTCTGTAGGGAACACCTGTCTAATACTGTATCTGGCCTTGGTTTTCACTGGCTTACCATCTTCACTCAAGCCTATCTTAAAGTGTTGTGTTGAAATGCTAGCTATTCATGCATGAAAATATACTTACAGAGATAGGCAGATGGACAGCAAAAGGAGGGCTAAATGGATTGAGTCATTTTTGTCTGAAAATAGTTCTGGTGCAAATAACTGCTCATCATGATTATCACATAGAGAAGTTTGCTGAATATGTCAGCACTTTAAAAACCGTGAAGACACTGTATTTATAATTCCCATTTCTTACATTTTTTGAAGCGAATGAAATATGTCTGCTTTTGTTGACAGAACCCAGCATAATTTGCTGAGACATGGGTCGTGACTTATATTTGTGTTGCATTTTCATCCCTCCTGTTAAAGTAAAGAATCTTTCTGCAAAAGAGAACCTGCATTTTATAGAAAGCTAACATATTCTAATATAAGATTTGAACAGTTCTAATCTATTATGCATAATGGTTTTTTTCTTTATCTGCAGCCTTTTGGACTTTGATTCAGAATACCAGGAGCTCTGGGATTGGCTGATTGACATGGAATCCATAGTGATCGACAGCCATGACCTGATGATGTCAGAGGAGCAGCAGCTGCATCTTTACAAGGTTAGAGCTTTTGTTGCTGCCTTTACCTAGCTATAGAAGATCTGATGAGTTTGACATGTCTTTCTCTCACAGGATAGCTCTGTGTTCATTGTATATATCATGGTGTCTATTAGAATTCCCTCCCCTGTCCCCAACCTCATTTCCATCCCCTCTGTGCTGACAAGCCTGTGCCGACATCATAATTGTAAGAAAGTTCCCTTCATCACATTCCATTTGGTATAATCCTATAGGAGGACAAAGATTTGTCATTGGATGAATTGAAATGGATGAAACTGCATTCTTAAATAGACTGAAACAACACTAAGTAAAACATGATTGTAGCATTTAGAAAATGTGCTCTGATAAGAACTATTTTCAGAATTTCTATCATCTATCATTCTTTTTAGTGAATCTATTGTTTCAGGATACACAATTCTTCCAATATAACTTATATTAGTGATTTTGAAAGCAAATGCTCTCTTTTTAAGAATGCACAATTGTTATGAATGAAAAACACAATCTATACATGTGTGCCTTGATTATGAATCTTTTTATTTAATACAGAGAGAAAGAGACAGGGAAAACAATCGTTTTCTTACTAGGATGGATGGATAGGTGAATAGATGGATGGATAGTTGGGCTTCCTGTGTAGGAGAAGCCCAACTATCCATTGAGTAATAGTCTTAATTTTCTTAGCTTTTCTGAGATACAATATTACAATAGTACAATACATTAATGGCCAGCACTATCTATAGTTGTTTGATATATGAAGTGCATAATGTTGTACAAAGCCTCTCTCGGCAAAGGCATGGTAAGCCACTTTGGTGTCAAAATGACACTGTGCACATCATGATGTCATTGTGCAAATGACACAATACCTCTATTGCCCAAGAACATAATAGGCTGAGAAAGAAAGCACTATGAAACAGTATTCATACGCCACAACCCAAACAATTTCAGCCATCTTAGCTCAGTTGAATGCATACCTAAAATAAAACAATAAGAGTATAAACCATATAATAATTTCTATATGCAAGTTATATGCAAGTTCACAGTAGACATGTATTTTGTACTTTTTAATACTGATGATTGTACTTCTCAAGTTTCATATATTAAGAATGGATCAAAATGAAACAGAATCAAAATGGTGTAATATACCCACATATTACCAACATTGGGAGTCCTTATTTAGAACTCCCAAGATGAAGTTTAGCCCCATGAATGATTTCTAAATGCTCAGAAACTAATTATGCATAGTATCACTTGTAATGGAGAGTCAGTTTGGTGTAGTGTAAAGGAGAGAAACCAGGAATTCTAGTACTGCCATAGGGATAAACCCAGCTGGGAGATCTTGGGCCAGTCAGTCTCTCAGCCCTAGGAAGAAGCCAATGCCAAACTACTTCTGAAAATCTTGCCAAGATAACTACAGACACTAATCCAGGCAATTATGACTTAACACTGACTTGAAGGAACCAAAAAAAAGGATGGGATGGGGTGGGTACACCAACCGTAATCTTCCTTTCATAGGCCATCTTGGAATTATCCTGGCAATTCTGACTTAAAGGTACACACCTACTTTACTTAAGAGCTGTGGTGGCATAGTGGTTAGAATGCAATATTGCAGTCTAACTCACTGCTTACTCCAGGAGTTTGATTCTGAGCAGCTCAAGGTTGACTCAACCTTTCTTCCTTCTGAAGTTGGTAAAACAAGGGCCCAGATTGTTGGGGGGCAATAAACCACTTAGAGAGAGCTATAGTGTAAAGCGCTGTAAAGTGACTATAAGTCTAAGTGCTATTGCTATTACTTGTGTTAGAACAGACCAGGTTCCTATTCAGTCCCTTTTGATCCACAAATTCTTTTGGGATAATTACTTAGTATTCTTGTGTCTCTGTAATATTGACATTTAGGTACTTAGAGTGTATATATGATAAATAATAAAAAATAAATTGTTCAAATATAATAAAGCTAAAGTATCTGTTTTTTTAAAAAAACAATGCTGTAATATGTCTATAAAATAACACTAGAAAATTTTAAAAGGGTACTCTTTGACTTAAAATGGAGGCATCAAATGTACATGAAATGAAAACCATCTCAGATTGATAGAAAATATTCCAGAGATACTTAAAGAATATTCAAATCCCAGCAAACACTTAAAATAATCAGATATTGAGTGATTAGATTATTTTGGGTTAAAAATAGCAATGTAAGATTTGATTTGGGAATATGATGCTACATCTGGAAGAAAGCTGATATGAATATTCAGTGATAGCAGAGAAATGCTGCATGCAGTTTTAGTCATAACAGTCTTTAGTTCAGGAATAAGTTTGAATTGCACTGCAAAATACTATAAGCAGCAGGACTGCACAGCAATCCTGATTAGAAAACAAAAAGGTAATTTGGAGCATGCAGGGTACTCATATAGCACCTGTTAGCAATACTTTAGACAAGATTTAAGGAAGGGTCAGCAGGTGCTATTTGTGCACTCCAAATGCTGTAAATCATTATTTTTCCTTTTGAAGTTGGTCCTAATAGAGAACTTGGATATTTTTGCATGGTCCTAATAGAGAACTTGGATATTTTTCTTGCAAATAATTCAGCTATGCTGATTTGGTTACTGTCTTAACATTAAAGACATCATAAAAATTAAAACAATACATATAATTGAAACCAAATAAAAATAAAATATAAAACAGATACTATAGTGTTTGGCTACTAAACATAGTGGTTATGACTTCCAAGCACCTTTGAAAAGTGTCCCAATATTTTTAATGGGATAAATAGCAAATGATTTAATATAAAGCAAAAGTATTAATGATGATGATCAACCAATAAGTCAGATTTTTTTACTGAGTGCATAGATAGGTTTTTTCCAATATGATCTGTTCCTCCTTTGATTCTTCAGACCTTCCAACAGTTTCACTATTTCCAATAGTATCACTATTTAAGTTGAGTCCATCCACCTTGCTTTTGGACATTCTTTCTCTTTTCTTCCACCTTTCCTAATTGATAGGCCTCTTAAGAGAGGTACATTAGGTTTTCTCATAAAGCGTTCAAAGTATGACGATTTGAGCCTGGTTGCTTTTGTAGTCAGTAGGTGGTCTTCTTTATGTTTAATCCTATTCCCATTTTTTCATTGTACTCTTTGATTTTCATTACTAGGCATTCTCAGTTTATCAATGGGATGCCATTGGATGCCATCAGTATAGAACAGGTTATCCCTGTTTCTTCCCTTCAGTTTTAAAATCTTCTCATTTCTTCCAAATCAGGATATTCCTTCCTATATGCTGAATATAAATATAAATTCCGGTTAAATAATAAGGAAAGGTTAAATAATAAGGAAAGAGAATAGAGCCCGACCTCACTCTTTTGCAGACCCATCATGCTCTATCTGGATTATGGATTCCTCATCTGCATATATGTTTAAGATGGTCTGGGATTTCCATTTTCATAAACACATTATCCAGACTGGCAACACAGTCAAAGGCTTTTCTATGATCAGTGAAGCACATACTGAATTTTGGAAGGTATTTTTTACGTTTCTCAATTATCCAGTATACATATGTAATTATGTCTCTTGTTCCTTTGCTTTTTTAATGCCTGAACATATGGCATCTTCCTTTCCACATAGGGATCTATTATGTCTTAGAATATTTTAAACATAGAAGGTAGCATATGAAAATAAATTTATGTTTTATTCTGGCCTCATATATGAATTTTTGAAATATAGTTCTAATTGGCCACACAAAAATGAATGCATGCCTTGTACTAGAAAAAAGAGTATCCCTAATATAAAACTAACTACAGTACAATATAAAGCAACATGTATTATAGAGAGAGATAATATTTTATGGAAGAATATTTTATTGATCTTCCACGTCTGGCATCTGAGAAGGAAAGTTAGTTATATTGGATAATATTATGCACACTTACCAGGCAGTAAATTGTATTACATTGGCCTGCAGAAGTTAGGCTTCACTTGCTGGTTCAGTGCTGGTTGAAGAAAAATTAGCTAGAACCAAGTCCTATAGGATTCCATCCAGTTGCCTGCATGGAATCCTATACCAACCAGGTGATTGACTGCTAGAGGTGCAAAGTAATATGTGAGAATTTTCCAATATAAGAACAGATATATTCTGAATTTGGTCAGATTTAGAAAGTAAATTTGTAGCTCATTCTCACTTAGTTCTTTCTTATGAATGAACAAAGGGGATGACTGTAATGTATGAACCAAGCTAAGGTGAGATGAAACTTAAAGTCTTGGCTCAGACTTCAGGATTGGCAAAATCCAGCAACACTTTTAGCACAATAATCAAATTCAAAATTTGTTATGAGTCACATTATAAAATATGAAAATTTTAAGATGTTTATAAAATTGAATTAAATTCCCAGAACTTGTGATATGTTCTTGATGAAAACTTTTAACATCATTTTATACATTAAATAATAAAATTAGGTCTAGGTATTTGAAGATGTTGTTGAAGATGAGCATGATGAGAACTGAAGTCAATTTCAAGTGATTAATGCCTCTTGTTAAAACATATCCATGTATTGATAGCTGCCATTTATTGCAAGTGGAAGATTATTCATTTCAAGCCTTGCTGGAGAATTGATTAATGCTATCTGTCACCACGTGAGGGCTCACTTGAGAACAGAAATTGAGCTTTGAAGTAGAAAATGTTCATCTTTTTGGTACAGAATTTACATATCAATCCTCATACTTTTCAGTGTTGGTCAGTATGGACTAAATATTTGAATTGTTTGTCCTGGCCATCTTCTTACAGAACTATACCATGAATATTTCTGTGGACAAGTGCTATCGGATGAACAATCTTTTTAATTCATTATTCCCCTACACCAACAAGTTCATTGCACTTTCTCTTTTCTTGTGATGAGTTTCTTAAATCCACAGAATTTTCTTTCCCGATATTGAACTGATAAGTAATTGCACCTCTGAGCCAGCTCAGCAAAGCTTCTCTGCCTGGTTACATGCTGTGTTATCACTACTGCCAGCAGTAATCTT